ACAGGAATAGACTAACCGGAACAATTCCTGAGTCGTTTGGGAATTTCACCGGAAGGCTTCCGGCGATTTATCTGTCTCATAACCTACTGAATGGAAGTGTACCCCAGTCATTGGCTCAGGTGAACTTCACGGCGTTAGATTTGTCCAGAAACAGGCTCATGGGAGATTTGTCGGTGTTTTTTGGGATGAATAAGACGATTAAAGCTGCTAATTTTTCGAGGAACTTGTTTGAGTTTAACTTCTCGAATTTGAATCAGTTTCCGGAGAGCTTGTCGGTGTTAGATTTGAATCATAACAGGATATATGGGAGTTTGCCGGTGACGTTGACAGGACTAAAATTGCAGACGTGGAACGTGAGTTTCAATAGACTGTGTGGTCAAATTCCGACCGGCGGAAGTTTGCAGAAGTACGATAGCTCGGCGTATTTTCATAACCAGTGCCTGTGTGGGTCTCCATTGCCTGCATGCTAATAAAATTCAAGAACATCTTCATGACTTCTAGAAGCTTTTATATATTTCTATTTTATAGTTGTAAAGTTGCTTTGAGAAGTTAATAAAAATATGCTCAAAATTTATAGTTATTGACTTTTTCATTAGGGAATCCATATTGCTTGAATAAACCGTAAACCGTTATGTTATTTTTATGTTGGATAAAATCATTTTTATTTGTTAATCACACTTAAAATAATGTTTACTCACTGGTATTTGTGACATTAGAAAAATTCAAACATATTATGATGTATGGAAAAAAAAAACCATTATATTATTTTTTTTATTAAAAAACCGTTTTATTTTCTGATTTTATATAATAAAATAGTTTTATTTATTGATTTTGAAAAAAAAAAACCTTTAATTCTCACTTTTTGTTTTGTATTTTTCTCTTTGAGAAATGATAATTGATAAATATCTCATTCATTTCATGAAAAGAGATGTTATAAGACCAGGCGGAGTGGCTGGGATCGAGGCCGCAGTCCTTTGACACATAACAACAAACACCGTCCCTTGGTGCGGTACATGTGCGGCTGAGGCCACCCTACGACTTTCAGAGGGAGCGTTTGTTGGACTTCTTTGATTGGTCAAAATTCCTACCGTTTGCAAACGATCAAAATTCAAATATATATATATATATATATATATATATATATATATATATATATATATATATTTATTTTACTAACACTATAAATACCTTTATCATATTAACTAAAATCACTCTAACACTTTATTTTTTACCATCTTTTTTACTTTAAAACCCACAAAAATGTCATCCTCTAAAATCTCACCAACGAAAAAACACTACAAAAACCACAACACCAATACCTTCACTCGATCAACAGATTTATTCGTCTCTTTTCTACCACTACGAGGATATGATTCCATATTTTCCGCAATATATCCAACAACCACAACGCCCTACGCAACCATTTCCACCAACACAACCACAATTTGACCCAAATTTTGTTCATTTTGATTTTGATTCTCAATCAGAGTTTGTTCGACAAACACTCATTTCCGAATCCGAATCAGAACTTATTCAACAAACTCAACCCTCTCAACCAAGAAATAAAAGAAACGAGAAGGCAGAATCTAAAATATGAGAACATCAAGAAGTGTTAGTAGTAGCATAATCATGGATTGACGTTTCATTTCAGAGGTTGCAAAGATGGGAAGAGACCAAAAACATAATCATTTTTGGATGTGTATTAGAGCTAGGTTCCACAAAGGAATGAACCTACAACAATATCGTTCTAAACATCAAGTTTACTTAAAATGGGGAAAATGAACAAAGTCTTCATGTTGTTTAACGATTTGTATAACATGAAACGATAATGAAAAAGCAACGAAAGTGACGATTTGATTTTGGAGAAAACTTTTAACATTTACCAAAAAGTGCAAAAGAAGACTTTCAAGTTTTTTGAAATCTGGAATCTACTCAAAGGCAACAAAAAATGGAAAAATCTAAAAACAAGCGAAGAACACATCGATAGTGGATCAAAACGGTCAAGAACTTCTGCATCCGAACACACTTCATCGGATACTCGTGTTTCTTTCGACCTCAACGAGGATGAGCCCGTTCAAGTGTCAACCCCCGGGCGAATGGCAATGACAAAGCGTCGGAGTCGGATGACTTGAAAGAAATTGGTGAGAATGTGCAAGGCATAAAAGATAAAATGGATAAATTTTTGCAACTTGCTTTGGATAGAGAGAGTCGGAAACAAAAGAACAACGACTTGATAGGGCTAGCGATGTCACGTCGAATATGACAAGGGATGCGCTTCAAGTTGTTTTGGCGATTGAAGGAAGACGTGAAAAAACGTTACGCTAATCATGGTTAATTTTTAGTTGTTTTCCAAGTTTTTAACCATTTGTGTGTTTTTTTAAGTTGTAGACTTAAGCTTTCTAGTTTGTTTGTTTGTTTGTTTGTTTTTTTTTTTTTTTTTTTTTCTAATTTTCTAGGATTTTTTTAATGTAATTTTTGTAAGTAATGTAATGGTTTTTATTTTTAATTAATGAAATCTTTTGTTTTTAATTAAAACTAAAAAATTTATTTATTTAAAAATAAAAATAATTAAAGGAGTGTGACACCACTCTTTAATGTAACTTTTGTGGTAGTTGCTGATGTGTCGCATACGTAGCAGTGAAGGGAATGTAACTTTTGTGACATCACTCGCTCTAACCTAAGTGCATAATTTTTTTTATTGTTTTCTGTTATCATTTTCTTTTTCATTTTGATAGGCTATTTAGTTGTTGAAAATTTATGAATATTATCGTACGGTTAGCCACCATCCAATAAGAGAAGTTTTCGAGAAGAAAAATACAGTTTGCTTCCTTAATTTTTAATTTTGTTATGTTGTATTTATCTTAATATATGGAATCAATATATATTTATCAATTATCCTGAGATCAAGGGTTTCATTTGTAATCCCTCTCCTAAATATATTCACTTGGTTCATTGGTCTCTCTCTCTCTCTCTCTCTCTCTCTCTCTCTCTCTCTCTCTCTCTCTCTCTCTCTCTCTCCATTTATCCACCACTATGAGTTTGCTATGATTGACCCTCATGAGGTAAACTTTCCTTCCATAATACACATCTTGCACTTTCCTTCCATAACACATCTTGGTTAGCTATAATGTGCTCCTAATCATGATGTCCAGCTTCATATATCGTCCTCGAAAAGTCTTACTACTTATTTTGATGTCGATTGATGGGTTCCCTAATAACTCGTCGTCTCACATCCGGGAACTTTATCTCTTTGTGTGACCACCACAACTCTTGTCCATCTAAGTGTGTGTATTATTTTTATTTCCAGTGTCAAAGCTAAATAGCATAGGGTGTTAATGTAGTCATCAGAACATCTTGGATTTGCAATCTCCTCCGCGAACTCCATAGCCTTAACACCAAGGTCATCATTTTCTATTCTAACTTCAATTTTCAAGTTTTATTTACCAGTTAGAGGTTATTGTTGGGGCCATTATTTGTTATATTGCAACCTTCTTGTTACTATTTGTTGTACTTGTTTTATTGCACTCATGCACGTACTCTTCTTTTATTGGTGTCATTGCAAATTTTTGTTTCGCATTGCAACGGCCATTTATTGAAATAGTCTGTTTATCCACATGTAAACTACCAACTTTGATCTCCCAATACCCGGTTCATATAGGATTTAGGGTTTGATGTGATATTGATTTAAAAAAAAATGAACTTCAACTTTTTGGTATTTACATTTTCATAATTTCATTGCTTATTACCTTGCATCCTTGTAAAAAGTAAATTTTTTTTTTTTTGCATCTTTTTAACAATAGGTATCCAAATTGTTAAAGTATGTGGGATCCGAACCTAAAACAATTCATTTTGAAATACTTATAGTTCTCTAGCAATCAATCGACACTATCTCACCCCAAGATTAAAACATGTAAAATTCAAACGTGAGAGCTTTTTAGACAACTCGTTTTATGTGTCAACATAACAAAGATTACATACAAACTAAAATCCAAATATGATACAATTATAGAATCAGTAACACCGTGCATATTTTTTTAGTTTTCCTTTCACGATTCAAGTTAATCCAGCAGTTAGTGGAGGACAAAAGTTTGTGAGTACAAATGACTCAAATAGAGGATCTTTTTGTTATCTAAAATTTAATGATTACTCTTAATATGTAAAATTTAATTATTATTTTTTTTTTTGAAAAGTTAAGCTAACCTACTCTTAATTACTACTATATTTTCTAATTTGAACACATGACCTCTCATTTGAGAGAGTCACTATTTTCCATTAGGTCAAAAACCATTTGATATTTAATGATTACTTTGGTGTATATTTTATATTTTTATGTTATTAAGTAGAATTTGATTATTTATTTTCGTATTCCCAATCTTCTAATTTTGGTTATAAACTTGCATTGTAAATGGTTTTTGGTTTATTTTGTTCTTTAGCACCAATAATTAGTTTTTTAGTTTCAAATAAAAATGGTTACAGTTCCTCATAAGTTAAGAATCAAATTAAACTTTATCGTTTAATCTGACGAACTAAAAAGGCTACAAATACATAGAACCATTCACGTCTTCAATCGAGTAACTTTGTATGATAAACATTATGTCATTTAACTACCAACAAAGTAGGTTAACAAACGCAACACACATGAGTCTGCACAAGATTTGTGCGTTTCATCTTCTCAGATTTTTGTGTTTATTTGCTTAACCAAACTTCTTTTTTGGTACAATTAAAACTCCAATATTTATTTTAAAATTTCTCTACTTTTGGAATAAAACATTACAAGGACGCATTAACTTTATAAATTTCAAAACTTCAAGCCATTTTTTTTTTTTTTCGAGCCTTGAAAACACCATGGGCTTTTGGGCATAAGCGAAAGTAACATGGGCCTCAAAACCACTATGGAGTATGGATTTCCCCTTAAGTTTTAGGCCTTTTCGACGTAAAAAGAGAATCTTGCAATCTTGCATATGTTTTATTGACATTTAAATAAGCCCATATAATACCATATGAAAGTGAAGATGTGCAATATGTATATATGTATATACATAATACATACAGACAAGTGGAGCTGAGCACATATTCTTGATTATGTGAGAGAGGAGCATTCATCAAGAATAAAGGTGAAAGCAGAGTTTATCACAAGAATCTTTAAAATTCATCAACACATAAGGAAAATAGAAAAATCAGTAATGGTAGGTTTGGTAGATATAAAAGGAGAGAATAAAGATGAAAGAATATTAAAAAAAAAAAAAAAAAAGCATCTTTCTCCTAACTATCATCACACTGGCATCAAAACTTTCACCATACCACACTACTTTTCTTAGCATATAACAAGTGTTTAATCTCACAAAATATATTATATAACTTGCTCTCCATATTTAATACAATTAGCAACACCAAAAAGACAAGGTTTTATCTCATGGGTAGTGTTTCTTTTCAAGAGAATCTAACACATCCTACATACAGTTCAATTTTAACTTCAAAAAGCTTATCTTTGTCACACCTCAACCAACTTTTTCCATAAACTACGAGTTTTTTCAACACTCCACCCTACTTTTTCCATCAATGATTATCAAAGAAAGCCAAATAATTTTCAACTTCAACTCAAGACTAAATACGAAGAAAGGTATCAACTTACAGTGATGCGTTTAAAGAAAGCAAACAATCAAAGCACCTTTTGCTAGGTTCTCCTTCCACTAATGTTTATGGTCACATTTCAAAAAAAAAAAGGCAAATATTCACAAATGACAACTACAAAAAATGGTTTCACATCACATGTTCCAGTTTCCATGAGTTTCAAAGCAACAAAGAAACCAAAAACACACATAAAAACTGCAACTCTCATCTAGAAAAAAGAGATCAGAACACATTTCTACAAAAAAAGGTAACAAATTTCTGCTTGATAATCTATTACAACCTTAGTGAAACCCAACAAACCAATGACTATATCTTGATTGGATTATTTCCAGGTGATCAAAAAATGGGTTCTAAACCAGCTGCAGCAAATCCAGATGACTACAAACTCAAAGACACAAAGCCACAACTCGGTGAAAGATGGCCACATGGCGGAATAAGAGGAGGTGGAGGGTGGATAAGCAGTGATAGAGTCACAAGCACATACGATCTTGTAGAACAAATGTATTATCTTTATGTTCGTGTTGAAAAAGCAAGAGATCTTCCTATCAACCCTTTGACTGCAAGCTGTGATCCCTATGTTGAAGTCAAACTCGGAAACTACAAAGGAAAAACACAGCATTTTGAAAAGAGAACATACGCAGAATGGAAACAAGTGTTTGCGTTTTCAAAAGAGAAAATACAATCAACTGTTCTTGAAGTTTACGTGAAAGATAAAGACATGATCGCAAGAGATGATTATTTAGGGAAAGTCGTGTTTGACATGAATGAAGTCCCAACACGGGTCCCACCAGACAGCCCGTTAGCACCTCAATGGTATCGGTTAGAAGATCGAAAAGGAGACAGAAAAATCAAAGGAGAGGTAATGCTTGCAGTTTGGATGGGGACACAAGCGGATGAAGCTTTTTCGGAAGCATGGCATTCGGATGCTGCAACTGTTCATGGTGAAGGTGTTTTTAGTGTGAGATCAAAAGTTTATGTTTCTCCTAAACTTTGGTATCTAAGAGTTAATGTAATCGAAGCACATGATGTCGAATCGGCTGACAAAAGTCAACTCCCGCAAGTTTTTGTCAAAGCTCAACTCGGGAACCAGATACTAAAGACGAAATTGTCCCCAACAAAAACAACAAATCCGATGTGGAACGAGGATTTGGTGTTTGTAGCAGCCGAGCCGTTTGAAGAACAGTTAGTTCTCACGCTCGAAAACAAAGCAACTTCAAAAGAAGAGATCGTGGGTAGAATCGTCCTTCCACTTACCGCGTTTGAAAAACGGTTAGATCATCGAACTGTGCATTCAAAATGGTATAATCTTGAACAATTTGGATTTGCTATGTTGGAAGGTGGACAAAGAATGGAGCTTAAATTCTCAACTAGGATTCATCTAAGAGTGTGTCTAGAAGGTGGTTACCATGTTCTTGATGAATCCACAATGTATATAAGCGATCAACGCCCCACGGCCCGCCAATTATGGAAAAAACCAATCGGAATCCTCGAGATCGGGATTTTAAGCGCGCAAGGACTTCAAGGGATGAAAACGAAAGACGGAAAGAAAACAACAGACGCGTATTGTGTCGCGAAATACGGACAAAAATGGGTGCGAACTCGTACGATTTTGGAGAGTTTTAACCCGAAATGGAACGAACAGTATACGTGGGAAGTATACGACCCGTGTACGGTTGTTAGTTTGGGGGTATTTGACAATTCCCATTTGGGCGGGAATGGAAACGGAGGGAGTGGAAAGGATTCGAGAATTGGAAAGATAAGAATCCGGTTATCCACATTGGAAACGGATCGAATCTACACGCATTCGTATCCACTTCTTGTTTTACAACCTTCGGGGTTGAAAAAAACCGGTGAGTTACAATTAGCGTTTCGGTTTACTTGTTTATCGTTAGCGAATATGATTTATCTGTATAGTCAACCTTTACTTCCTAAAATGCATTATCAACATCCGTTGACTATAAGCCAGCTGGATACATTAAGATATCAAGCCATGAACATTGTGGCAATTCGGTTGGGAAGAGCTGAGCCTCCGTTAAGAAGAGAAGTGGTTGAATACATGTTGGATGTTGACTCGCATATGTGGAGTATGAGAAGAAGTAAAGCGAATTTTTTTCGGATTGTTTCGGTTTTCACAGGTGTGATTTCAATGAGTAAGTGGTTAGGAGATGTTTCGAATTGGAAAAATCCTGTAACTACTCTCCTGGTTCATGTTCTTTTTTTTATATTGGTTTGTTTTCCGGAGTTGATTCTTCCAACTGGATTCCTGTATATGTTTCTTATCGGAGTATGGAATTACCGATTCCGTCCACGTCATCCGCCACATATGGACACGAAGCTGTCATGGGCTGAAGCTGTTCAGCCGGATGAATTGGATGAAGAGTTTGATTCTTTTCCTTCTTCAAAGCCACAGGATGTGACAAAGATGAGGTATGATAGGCTTAGGAGTGTGGCTGGAAGGATACAGACAGTGGTTGGTGATATTGCAACACAAGGGGAAAGGTTTCAGGCGTTGCTGAGCTGGCGGGACCCGAGGGCGAGCTGTTTGTTTGTGCTTCTTTGTCTTGTGATAGCTGTTGCTCTGTATGTGACGCCTTTTAAGCTTGTTGTTTTGGGGATGGGTTTGTTTTTGTTGAGGCATCCGAGGTTTAGAAGCAAGATGCCTTCAGCGCCTAGTAATTTCTTCAGGAGATTACCAGCTCGAGCTGATAGCATGCTTTGAGGAAGGAGAAGTAAAGGGAAACTATAGAGTGTTTGGTATACGATATTGTCTTCATTTTGTATTATGATTTGATGTTTTGTTTCGATTGAATGTTCAAGTTTAAGTGCTTCAAAAATTCACTAGCTCCATCTCATAGACAGAGTATATTTTACTGATTCAAACTTCAGAATTTATGAAATCTCATCTGAATTTGAGGACATTGTAGTCTTCTACGAAAATTTTGATTCAAGCTTAGAGCATAAAAATAGCATTACTACAAATATGAATTCATCAAATAGTAGGATGAATCTGTACATCTCAGCAAATTCATCGTTGTGTAATTCTAGAAATTACGAAATAAGGAAGAAAAAAAAACAAGGTAGGAATTGTTGATGCAAAAACGGAGAAGGATAAATGATACCGTCCGAAAGAGCGTAATGCCATTGCGATGAAGAGAGACGGCAGTCATCGCCGGAAGAGAGAAGAGAAAGAGAGGCGATAACCCCTTCTTCCGCAAACCACCTCCGCCATCCTTCTCTTTCCTAAACCCTAAATTATTTTCTGAAAATTCTACGTAAACCTTAAATTATTTTCTGAAAATCTTCGTTTTCTTACTCCTCGCTTAATTTCCATTGTTATGTGGTTGGATGGATTAGGGTATTATGGGAGACGAGCAAATTAGACGAGTTTGCGTTTTTCAAAAAATAGTCATTCATTAGCGTCGTTATGAAATCGGCTTTTCCAAGCTGCTCTTGCTCTGATGTGAATTTTTGGGCGGAGTAATCACAGCATTTGCCGAACTCCACGTCTAAAAAAATTGGGGGAAGAAGTTAAGAATAGGAAGAAGAGAGGAGTTGGTTGCCCAACGGGGAAAAATAAATGGACGAAAGAAGAAGAAAGAGACTCAAGTTGCCCTTCCAAGCACAGTATGAAGTCCTCTGATTCTTACTTTACTACTTCCTTTGATGGCAGCGTTCCTTAGTCTGATTCATGGCATACCGAGTTCAAGGGCGGTGTTTGTTAAGTCCATGTCAGCACTAGTTCACTACCGAGCTTCTTGCCGAATCACTTCGTGAAGCCTAAAAACAAGGGATGAGCAGCAAAAGCGGGTATCTACTTTCGGAACCAGAACCGCCTTGAAACTATCAGTTCTAGAACCGGAACCGCCTTAGACGGTTCCGATTCCGGTTCCAAATCTTATTTTTACAAAACCGATACCTGCTGGATATTCGTCAGTTCCGGTTCCAATACCGGATACCCAGAACTGATACCAATGGGTACCCGCCTATATATATATATATATATATATATATATATATATATATATATATATATATATATATATATATATATATATATATATATATATTGATGTGACATCGGCTTCGACCAACTGCTCTGAGGATGTGCTTCTACGTCGGAGACAGATCTACAAGGTCACAACAGACAAGGCCATTAGAGCCGCCCCAGTGATTGTGCCCCGAGAGCGGGCTCCGACGATCAAGTTAGATCATCCAGTAGATCTGAGATGGTTCTCTTTAGCTAGAGAGGATCATCTTGGTGTTGGTGGTGTATGGTGGCTGACGATGGAGGGTGGCGGCTGAGCCACCCGGTCGGAGTCTAGGGCAGCCGCTGAACCGCCGGGGAAGGATCCTCCTCAATGGAGGAGATATTGTTCACTATATAGGGGACAATTAGGTTAATGAAAATTAGGTCAGGCCTTGGGCCAGCCCAATTCAGGCCCAGCTAGCAAGGAGTTGGGCTCATGCCGCCCAGAGGCGACGGACAAGGCTGGTAAAGGAGCGCCAGGTCGGACCAGCAGGAGAGTCCCCAGTAGGGCTGGCGAGGGAGCGCAAGGCGGGCCAGCAGGAGAGTCCCCAGCAAGGATGGCAAGGGAGCGCCAGGTCGGGCCAGCAGGCGAGTCCTAGCAAGACTGACAAGGAAGCACCAGGCGAGGCTAGCGCGCTAGAGCTGTCAAGGCCATGCTAATGGACCATATATCATCAAGTCCCCCCAGTTCGATGTTATTGGTACTCGGCCAATAACATTTGACTGAACTCAGTCATATAAACCATGTGTCATCAAGTCCCCGTAGTTCGGTGTGATTGGATTGCTAACAATCGGATCCGACTAGACAAAGCACCAATGCATCAAATAATAAAAAGAATGATCAAACCTTACCCCACGGGAGCCTTGGTGTTGCGCAATGAACCAAGCATGGATTGGCTTAATGATCTTTCCTCGTTACGAATACGATCCAGTCGGTGAGATGCAACGTAGTTGTTGCTGCGATCATGCAAAGTGAGGCTGTTGATAATGTTACGCGAAATGGGGCTGCTATGCGACAATGATGTCGATGAGGCGTCGAGCCGAGGTAGCTAAGAAGTGTAAGCACGCCATTCAGTCCATGAGACTGTTATCCGACGCAGCTGTTGTTGTAGTCACACGTAGATGGGATTTCACCGATAATCGTCTACATAGTCTACTTTACGTGAGCATTGATAACCGTCCTGAAGGTGTTTTTTGCTTGAGCTACACCTAGCTGGATTCCCCCCAGTCTGATGTGGCTAGCATAGCTAACCAGATCAGACTTTGACGAATAGGGCAAGCTTGTTATGTCAATGCACGACGAAGTAGCAAATCTCTTTGTCCGGGATGGATGTTGTCAAATAAGTCGTAAGGTTGTTCACCGTATATAAGTGGCAGAGGTTCTGGGAGCTGGGCAATTAGGATGGTAGTAGGGATTACACAGTGAGACTGTTTCCGAGAACCAGGCAGCAAAGATGTTGAGGGATACACGTCGAAGCTATAGGTAGGGGTTGCACAACAAGATCGTTTCTGAGGGCCAGGAAACAGAGATGCTGAGGGATACGCGGCGAGGCTACAGGTAGGGGTTGCGTAGCAAGACCGTTTCCGAGGGCCAGGCAACATAGATGTTGAGGGATACGCAGTGAGGCTACAGGTAGGGTTGCACAGTAACACCGTTTCCGAGAGCCATGAAACAAAGATCCTAAAAGGTAGTAGGTAGAAGGGTCGCTTTCGGGATAACCTTCTTGTTGGAGAGTAACCTCACTATAGCAGGATTTAATGTAGAAAACGCTTCATTGACCGTCCGAGCACAAGAGGAGCATGATGACTGTGAGAGAGGAAACACCGAGAGCATGATGTTAGGCGTGGAATAAGCTTGTGATGCGCGACGATGCGTGACTTAGAAGAATAGCTTAGGCTTAGCAGCCAACGATCATGGAGATGTTACGTGGGAGAGCATCGCATGCAGATTGGGTTTAGCAGCCAGTGATCGTATATACATCACGCAGGAGAGCATCGTGTGGAATTGATTGGGCTTAACTACCAGAGATCTTGGATACATCACGCTGGAGAGCATCGCACTGAATCATATTGGCAAAGGTTGCGAGCCTTTGAACCTTGTTGGCGGAGCATGTCGCTGGAGTCGGGCTGAGAAGTCGGGCGACTCGAGGCAAGGGTGCTGAACCTCACATACGGAGCTTGCTGCTATAATGGACGCGACTCAAGACAAAGGTACTGAACCTCGCATGAGGAGCTTGCCACTATAATGGAGTCAAGTTGAGAAGCCAGGCGACTCAAGGCAAAGGTGCTGAATTTTGCAGAATTGGGCATAGTGGCCGACAATCTATGTGTAAGGCCCAGACTAAAGTATGATGGCACCTGTTACATTGCTGCATCATTAGTTTTAGTGACGACTGGTGCTTCTTCTTCTGACGACTTTGTCGAGAGCCATGCAGCGAGGCTACTAGAAGTCGGATAGTGGAACTGTTGTCAAAAGGTGTGTAGTGGGAGTATTGCCGAGAGTAGAGCAACAGGGCTTCTAAGAACTGTGCATTGAGCTGGGCAACGAGACTACCGAGGGTTGAACCACGAGCATACTCTTTCGATCCAGAATATTAATTTCACCTCGGGAATGCACTATCATGCATAGCATCATCTCTTCATGTACTTTAACTTTGCGCCTTCAGAATAGAAATCAATTATATATAGTGTTGTACCAACCCTCCCCCCCCCCCCCCTAATTTCTTAAAGGAGGAGAAGAAAGGGAATGATGGATGCATAATTGTTGGAAACTGGGCGACACATCTGCTGAAAAAGCTAGGAGACACAGGTGCTAACAAAAACTGGGTAGCGTGGCTGCTGAGAGATGGGCAGTGCGACTGCGGGATGTCGGCCAACACGGATGATGAGAGTTGAATAGTGAGACTGCATGGAGTCGGTCGACACGAATGCCATTAGCCATGTAGCACGGTTACCGAGGGCTAGGCAAAGAGACTATCAAGGGTTGATCGGCATGGTTGTTGGGATCCAGGAAGCACGGCCTTTGAGGAGTAGGCTTTACGGCTGCTCTTTCATTCATAACACTAAGGTCTTCCTAGGAACGCATGACCATATACCATGTCCACTTGTTATGTAGTTCAACTCCTGGCTTGGAATAACACTTTTGTGGTGTCGTGCTAGCACCTCTACTCCCCCCTTTTTAGAAAATATGAGGAGTGAGAACGAATGGATATATGACATTATCTTGTGTTTGCACGTTCGAGCCTCATTCGTTTGTACATGCCATTGTAAAAAATAATAGTAAGTTATCTGATTCCATAATGCATGGTAATGGCAATTAAAAAGCATGTAAGCATGTAGTTTTAGGAGTTGTTTACAACATGTGCCTTTTTGTAAGCTTTTACGGAAAACTACTTGTATATTGAATATAATGCTTGAGTAGTATGCGGTTAGTAGTTTAGCACCAAAGATGGCAAAATGGTTTGATTAAATCAAAAACTGTTTGCCAATTCAGTTATCAAAATTTATGGCGTTTTTTGTAAATCTCTTAATCGTCGAAGGTAAATGCATGTCTCGATTGTTCAAATAAAGCTTTACTATTTTTTTAGTTTTACTAAATAGAAATAATGTATAGATATGTGGTATTGATCTATTTTGAGAAAAATGGGATAGGCGGACCTTTCATCCTACCCTAAACCCTTCATCAAACAAGAACAGGAAATAAGGTTAAACCAAAC